AAATATCAGTTTTTACCAAAAATGACAAAAATATTCACCAAAATTAGAGAATTAAAGATATCATTACAAAATGAACAAATCTGAGAGAGGTCCACATGTAGTACCTATATATGTAATGTCAAAGCAATTGCACTTGCGGTTTTTAACAAGAAGTCGAAAATATCAGTTTTTACCAAAAATGACAAAAATATTCACCAAAATTAGAGAATTGAAGATATCATCACGAAATGAACAAATCTGAGAGAGGTCCACATGTAGTACCTATATATGTAATATCAAAGCAATTGCACTTGCGGTTTTTAACAAGAAGTCGAAAATATCAGTTTTTACCAAAAATGACAAAAATATTCACCAAAATTAGAGAATTAAAGATATCAACATGAAATGAACAAACCTAAGAGAGGTCTACCCAAGGTACATATACACCAAGTATCAAAGCATTTAGGCTTGTAGTTTTCAAGAAGAAGTCGAAAAAGTAAAACATTGACACGGACGACGACGACGGACGACGACGGACAATCACTCATATGATAAGCTCCGCTCGACAAAGTCGACAGCGGAGCTAAAAAATATGAATAGGTAGGGTTATCAGAAACAATTATTTTTTTCTCTGCATTGTTTAGAAGTTGATAGAAATTTCATGGAAATGTTATAATGGCATGAACCATCGATCACCCTCATCATCACAAAGACACACTTATTATCGTTCCCAATATATCTACAGCAGGAGTGGCTGGCTCACTTACTGCACTCAGCTTTTTCATCCGAGTCATCCCCACAATCATTATCAAAATCACAATGCCATGCTTCTGGAATACAAAACCCATTGTCACATGTATACATCCCGACATCACAAGTACGGGAATCTGAAATAGAAATAATATTGTTGACAAATATTATTAATTCTAAAAGGAAATTAAGGTCACTTTTTTTTGTTAATCTACTTATATTTTACTTTGGAAAAAACAGCACATCACTAGACATTACTGAATCATGTCCTATCATTCTGCTTCTGCATCAAAATATTTTTGTTTTGATGATAAATGGTGTCCACTTTCCACATTCAATATAAAGTGTTTTAATTTATATGCAGATTTTCTGGTCCAAATTTTTCTGCATTTTTTCTTATATTCTTCACTATTTCTGGAAATGAACCGTAATTATGGAGCCAACAGACAAACTTTGGCTATTTTTGTCCCAATCTTCAAAAACAAGTCATTGTCAATGACACATCCCTGTTCCGTTCATATTTGAGTGACATATACATTCAAAGCAGATCATGACTGAAATGCACCTGCATATGTACAACACATTGTGCTAAATCTGAACAAAATGCATCCATGCATGACTGAGATCCGGTTCTGGAATTGTGAAAATATGTGATTTTGATGCATTTTCGGCCTTAAAATGGCCATCATTCCGCTATTGTTAAGCAGATCATGAAACAAATGCACATATCTATTTGTGACATGATGTACCATGTGTGTGTGAAGTTTGAACTTGATCAATCCAGACATGTCTTGGATACGGATCCAGAACTGAATTCTTTAACAAA